TCGGTCTTTAAGTTTGTTTAAATAATGGTCCAATCCTTTGTAAAATTGGCTGACCAAATTATGTTTTGGGTTAATCAATTAATGGGCTTTAGTTTGGTCTTGTTTCGATCTTTAAGTTTGTTTAAATAATGGTCCAATCCTTTGTAAAATTGGCTGACCAAATTATGTTTTGGGTTAATCGATTAATGGGCTTTAGTTTGGTTTTGTTTCAAGTTGTAATAAGGGCCCAATTGGAAACTTAGTCATCAGCCTTTGGAAGACCAAGATGGTGTGTAACTGATTGACTTTTGGTTGCCACAATTTTAATTACAATTAACATTAAGTAGTTTTCAATTCCTAGGTTAATGGATCATTATTAACATTTATTTGCCTCCATTAAGTAGTTTTCAATTCCTAGATTAATGGATCATTATTAGGATTTATTTTTCTTTATTGAGTCTTTATAACTCTGATGGCAAAAGTTTTTTATATAAGATGAACCATTTTTATCAGAAATAACAAGTTGAGTTTTATTAAGAAATATTAAAGTTTAGCTCTTTTATCTTAGTGAGAGTGATTCTCCTAAGTTCTTGAGTGATTAAAAAACCCTTAGCTGTATCAAAGGACTTTAACATCCTTTGTGAGTTGCCTCCCTTGGGAAGAGTGATTCTTTCCTTCGACCTTTCACATTCACCTTTTGTTCCTTCTTCACTAGAACCCAAAAAACTCAATTCTTCTTAGATTTATTTGGGGGTCATAACTTCCATTCTACTCATCCAAATTGAGTGTTTTTTTTAGCCTAAATTGAAATTCAGAACGAGAACTTTCACCTCGTTTTTGAATCACCTCAATCAAAGTTTTATAGCTTGAAATATCGACATTTCAAAAATACTTCCCAATCTTGAAACTTTCACCACTTTCTAATTTATCTTCTCTCTACTTTTCTAAATTTCTTACAAGGTTCTAACCCTAAAGATCCTAAGTCAGCACTTGTGCAGATTGGGTTCATATCACCAACGTATATAAGGATTGTCACCACTCTCAACCAAAAACTTTAAGGCATTAGGTTATGGGTCATACTTCCTTATATGTTGCTCAACTTTCTCATTCTTACTCAATATGGGGCTTAACTCACACTTGGATTACCCAATAATCTCCCTCTCAAGTGTGAGTCCCTTCACATTGGTACATCCCCTTGAGCACACCAATGGCCCTTCCAAATACCACCGTTCATTTTAATGGGACACGCTTACCTGAACCACTTTGTTAGGAAGACTTTCGATACAAAGACCACTCTGACTCACTACCGATCAACATTTGGCTCTGATACTACTTGTTGGGTCTTTCAAGGGAGATTTACTGGGGAGAACAACCCCAATGAGACATGAGCCCAACTCACATAAAGATTGACACCACTCTCAACCCAAAACCTTAAGACATTAGGTTATGGGTCATACTTCCTTATATGTTGTTCAACTTTCTCATTCTTACTCAATGTGGGACTTAACTCACACTTCAATTACCCAACACTCTGCAGCTTTGTGTGCTTCCAAGCGAATATAATCACAAAATTGACCCCAATTGGCATGTGCAGTAATGAGGACACATCATCTAGTGTAATGGTCATCTCACCTATGGGTAGATTGAAGCTGTTAGTTTCACTATACCATCTCTAAACAAACAGAGATAATATTCCCTTATGTGTTGTGTCATAACTAGCACCACAAGTGCTTCCAACCAAATAATTGAATTGCAGCTGCAATCCGCAAGTGTGAAACCCCCAACTTATTTATTTTTTTGCTATGGGAAACATAGCTTAACTCACCACGATCCTATAATTTTAATTTTATTTTATAACATTAACATTTATATGCACTAACTTATATGATGTGAAAGACACTTAACACTCCCTCCCACTAGCTATGGCCCATGTGATCTGCATGTCTGATTAATAATTTATGGAAAAAATGTCATGAAACATCATTTTTATCCTGAGAATTACCTTACTAATAGAGAAATAAGATACAAACAACCAACATAAAAATATAACGTGGAAACTGTAAAATCGAAAAAAATTACGTCAGTTATCTAATGATAACCAGTGAAATTTTTTACAATATGTAAACTACTCCCCAATGCCCTTTGACCCCAAATACACCCATACTCCCCAAAGAAAGAATTTAAATCAAACCTCACACCACTACTACAAGAGTATAAAAAAAGTCAAATACATGCTTAAAGTATTTTTGACTGGGGTGTCAGAACATCATGGACTTTAAGTCTATTATATAACTACTATCATCCACTTCATTGCTTATCTAATATGATGTAAGACTTTTCAAAATGAATTATTTTTATAAACTCAATAATAATTAAATATCTATAGGCCCTTCCCGAAAAGTTGATCATCTACTAGAAGTTTCTCATCTACAACATTGATCATCTACACCATGATGTTGCTCATCTACAATATTCTCCCCCACATTATATTTGTACTCATTAACAACACTAGATTCCCCATGAGCCATACACCTTACAGAGGTAGCTGGGTGAACAAGATATGTTGGTTGAAAACCACCTCTCCTAGTCTTGACAATAATGAAAATTACATTATCGAGAAAGGAGTTCATCAAAAACATGTTCAAATTTTCAGAATTCATTTATGGATTGAGTGTTTCAAAAATGCATTCTAAATTGGGTGATCTAGAAATGTATTCTGAATTGGTTGTTTCATAATGCATATCTAAATTAGGTGTTCCAAATCCATATATGTATTATGGAACAACCAATCCGGAATACATTTTCAAAAAACTTAATTTGGAAATGAGGTATAAAACTAATCCATAATACATTTTTAGATTGGTTGTTCCATAATATATTTCAGATTAGTTATTTCAAAACTCACTTTCGGGTCTAGAAATATATTCTGAATTAAGCAATTTAGATTTCTATGTACACTTTAGTCAAATTTTCATGTAATAGGTATAAAACATTAGTAATTTCTAACTTTATGCACTGAAAACTATCTTCAGTGAAAGTGAAAGGACAACAAAACAAAGATGCAAGAGTTATGGAAGTACAAAAGAGAGATATGGAGATGTTGTGGAGTCAATGAGAAGAAACTTTTAGTATTTCAAACAAAAATTAGTAAAATGGTATTTTGATCATTTTAAATAATAATTGAGATACAAACACAAATTATAATATATTTATATATTTTAATAATATAATATAAAAAAATGATAATTCATTATTTATATTTTTATATATAAATAATTAAAAAAAGAGATTAATAGACATGTTTGTCCACCATTACCCTGCTAGATTAATAAATTAGACTGGATTAGGGATGACAATTAAACTCGTACTGTGGGGACCGACCCGTCCCCACCCCGAGTTTGACGAGAAAACCCGAGTTGACAGGGGCGGGTTCGGATTTTCCCGCTTTAAAAAGTCAGGGCGGAGCTGGGATGGGTAATGCAATCCTCACCCCGACTTTATATTTAAATTTAAATTTTAAAATATTAATATTTTAAAAGTATTTTCTTTTCTTTTTCTATTACATATAAGATCATTTTTTTTATATTTCACCAATTTTTACTTTTCTTCTACCCATTTTTTAAATTTTTTGTCTTTTTTAATCATTTATATCAATTAATGTATTACACTATTCTCTCTTTTACCTTTCAGCTTTTTCACATTTCTTTAATCTCTCCCATCAATTTGTTTTTTTTTTCATCTTTTCAACCAATTTGATGAACATAAAGTTAATTTTTTTTATTCTTTATCTTTTTCTAGATATTTTACATAAATCTTAGTAGTAACTCGATATTATTTTATTTATAATTTATATGTATTAGGTTTTATTATGTCATTTTTTTATCTTATTATTCTTATTTATCATATATCAAATTTTATCTTAATAAAATAATTGTATTTTAAAGGATTAAAGAAATTCATAATTTAAACTTTTATTACTTTGAACTAATTGAATAATAATTAACTTATTAAATATTTCCTTATAAACTATATATTTCATATTTTTAAATGACAACTTAAAAATGAATTAACTTATATATAATCAAATGTTTGAATACAGTATTATAATAATAATATTATAAGTATTCAAATATTTGAATACAGATGTTATAATAATAATAATGTTATAAATAAAAAATGATTAAATATTTCTTTTATATACATATTTTAATATAAATATAATAAATTAAAATGTATATTTAATTAATAATAATTATAAATTATAAAATTATAAATATTTATTTATATATAAAAAATAGATAATAAAATTAATTTATTATAAATATAATTATCTTTTTAAAAATAATATAGAGGAGGATAAGACGGGAGGGAGATCGTAAAACCTAACATAGAGTTAAGTTTTAACTTCTACCGATCAAAGCAACGATCAGAATAAAAAAAATCGAATAGAAGAATCGAGTTGCGTCGTTGCCATGCCTCTTGACTATCTAAGACTAACAAGATGTGCCAATTTGAGGTGCATAGCCACTTTGCCATCCCGTAATTTTAATTTTATGGATAACCCAAAAGTGAGGAAAAATTCGTAACTATTAAATATTAAATAACGGATACTTGTTTAAAAAAATCCAATAGATATATTAGGGATGGTACCTCTAAGGATAATTTTGGCTTGGATGCGTTCATCTCATTTAAAATAGTCACTCCATTTTCTTCCTGTTACCCGTCCTTCTTAAGTCTGGACTCTGGACTCTGCAGTTCGAAGCCATTAGTGCTTATGAAGTTAATTCGCACAAGCAGTGTCTTTTTCCATGTTCATTTTCTTTAAAGCTAAACGCTGAATTCTCTCTCGTTTCTTTTTCTCATCACAACCTAACAAAAAATTTCAACGGTCTTCCGTCATTGTCATTCATTCGTTACTGAAATCGAAAATCCCTATCTTCTCTCACCTCCTTCATCTTCCGGATTCCGTGTCCATTGACGGATATGTAAGTCGCTCATTTCTTCGCGAATCTCAACACGTCATGCGTGTCTCAGCTGCAATTGCCGCAATGTTTTGTGAAGTTTGAAGTTTATGAAGTTCAACTAATTTCGGTTATTGGAACACTGAGATTCGTGTTTACTTGATTTGTGATCAGTTTGTTTAGCTTTAAGGAACTAAAAGCGTAACGATGATGCGTATACCTGCGTTTACTTTCACCTAATGAGATTATTGGAACAATCGTAGATATATCAAGCCGCAGTTACTGTATATTTTTGGTAATGTTTACTAAAGATGATCGATTGCCGAGCGAATTTCTTATTTAGGAGGATTAGAGGAAAGTTTGATCTACAACGTTCAAAAATGGTTCATATACTGCTTTTTCCTTGAAATTCCTTTTGTTAAAATTAAACTCATCTTATGTTAGAAATATGCTTGCAAGGATATCCGAAATTGTGTGGTTAGAATTTTAGTTCCGTACTTTTTAATTTGAATATGGAAATTTTGTATTGGATGTGGTGTGGATCAGAAACTTTGACAACCTTAAGGAATGGCAGAACAGAACAAGGAATCCTCACCTGCAGATTCTAAAGAGAAAAAGTCATCACGAGGTTTCTCTCTACATTGTTTTTTGCTTCAATGATGTAGTGAGTATTAGAAGTAGATTCTTTCTAGTACTTTTATGCAAACAAGTAACAGCTCGAGAGGAAAGAATGGATGATGGTGGAATTGATTGCATATGACAGTACATTTAGTTATTGAATTGAATTTACTAGTCAGCACTGTTTTTGGAATTGGTATGTTGATGGTTCATAAAGGTTAGGGAAGCATAGCAAGTTATTGCAGTTCATTTATAGCCTTTTCGGTGAAGTCTTTATTCTTCCCTAATTTTGATGTCAGTTTGGATGGAAATCAGGACTTTGGTTTCTCCAAATGAAACATTCGTACTGCAAATCTGACCATAGATTATCTTCAACTGCCTTGGAAAATGAATTGAACGCAAAACTGTACGAACAAAAAGGAAAAAAAGATCCAGCAGAGTAAAAAACTTTCTTAAATATATGACCTATGTACATTACTCCATACTCAAGTGCTACAATTTCTTGTTTTCTTAAATTCATTATTCCTTACTCCTAAATATTAATGCAACGTTCTTAGGTGCTTGCAACTTCTTGTCAATTTGTGCGATTGCATTCTCACCTATGCCATGGGACAACCAAATATTTTCTTCTCTTGTTGTTGAGTGAAAACAACAATAACTATATATGCAAGTATTACCAAAGTATTTACATTTTTCAATTCAAACAGATGACGAAATTGGAAAGGATTTTCTTAGCTCCTGGAAATCCATGTCAATGGCAGAAGATGATGCAATTGACTTTGGCTTTGACAATGTTTCTAAAGGAAAAAAGAAGACATTTGACTTTGAAAAACTGTAAGTTTTACTAACTTACCAAAGTTAAGAGTTTAGGTTTTCAAAACGGAAATATGGACGGCAAGGGTGCTGTTATTGGTTTCATTCTGAATCCTTCTCTGTTTCAAAATGCTTTTCATCTGACAGGTTCAATATTTGCACATAAACTCGAGAAGGGTGATATCATAAATTATAAATGCTTATTATTTTTATCTATTTTGCAAATCTATAGTCATAATGATATTTTATATAAATATAATTTCATTTGAGCAACAGATTACCAGGATATACATATGTGCTTATGTAGTACAGTGTTTGTAGTTCCTAATTCATGTGTTACAAATAATCCTTGGTAGGGACATGAATTTTAATCTGGGTGGTGAGTTTGACAAGATATCATCATTTAAGTTGGACATGTCAGATCTTGATTTTACATGCCCACCAAAGAAGAATTCCCAGTCTAAGGATAAGAAAGGAGAACTTTCTGGTGCAAAGGCAGGGAAGCAAGACGAGTTTAATTTTAGCTTTGATTTTAATGAGTAAGTGGGTGAAAATATTTGAGGCTGTAATCATTTAATGCACATATATGTTATTTTTGGTTTCTGAACCATCAGTGTGAGTGATTTGAAGGTATATATCTATTCTTAAAATTTTGCATCGTTTTATGGCATAGATTGGATAGCATCAATCTTGATTCGAGCTTCATGCAAGTAGATACTACCTCCAACAGTAATCCAAGAAAAAAGGTAGTAACTAATGAAGGAAGTGATAAAGAAGGTGCTAAGATGCCTAAAACCAATTATGGTGAAGATGCTCATGCATCTAATGATAGCACAGCCATGAAATCCCATGCATCAGAGGGGCTCGAAACTTTTACGGTTGAGACTATGGTTGGTAGCGTAGGGAATCCAGTCTCCAAACAGGATGGTTCTGTTTCCAAAGTTTCATCCTCTGGGAATCTTGACATGCAAGAAAGAGACTTACCTGAGAAGGCAAATTTAGCAGAATCTATATCTGAGCAGGTTATCAATATGGCATGTTCTCAGTCGGTAGGTCAGAGTGATTCAGAACAGCACACTATCTCAGACCAGCACATTATCTCAAACCAGCATACAGAGGTTTTTCCATCGGTAACAGGAGTCAGTAATGTTTCCAGAGATAAACAAGAGCTTAATCAGAAGACAACATATAAGTGCCCGGAAATGTTTTCTTCTGGTACAACAGAAATTAAAGTTTCGGGTGACACGCAAGAGGTTAATGATAAGGCAACAATTGTAGACTTACAATTGGATCGTTCCTCCCCGCATCACATTTCTAAGTCAGATAGCAGTGTTGGAGAAACAATTACTCTAGGTAGAAATTCCCAAGGATTTACTAATGACCCTCAGCCAGAAAAGAGGTATACAAGTTATGAAAATATTAATAAAGCTGATGCATTGAAGAAGATTTCCTGTGACAATGATAACAGAGAAAATAAAGAAACAACTTCAGTGTGTCATTTGGTTCCCACAAGCAGGTAAAATTATTATGATCATTTTATTATTATATCATTATGAATGTTACATTATAGTTTGCTTAAGTTATTAGCCGAGTTTCCAACAATTCTGTTCCGTAAGGTAGCAGACTTGATTTTTTTTTTTTTTTTTTTTCAGATATATGCTGTTTTCACGATTTCATTCATTTGATGCAGTAAACCTGTGGTGGAGAAGATGGTGTTAATGAAAGATAAAAAACTACACGATATGGAGTCAAGTATGTTCAGCACACCAGAGGGAAAAAAATCTTTAAAAGAACCTTCATTAACAGTAGGGACCAAGGGTATTTTACTTGGCAAAAAAAGTGATGACACGCTCCTTGGATCCATCACTCAAGAACGGTGTGTTATGTTTGTGATAACAATTATAGTTGTTGACCATACAATAGTAGAATGACTCATTTATATCTCTTATCAGTGTGAATTTCAGGTCTGACACAAGACTTGGAAGCAAAATGGCTGGTGATTCTCTCACAGATTCCAGCAAACTAATGAGGGATGCAGCAGCGTTGCTTGGTAGTAAAGATGATCTTAGAAGTAATAGCAATACCAGGTAATATGTTTGTTCTGGAAAATCTATAAAACTAGAATCTTACTTTGTAGCAACTCTTGTCCACAAGCTGCATAAATGATATTTTGGGAGAAGTTAGATTACTACTTCCTTGTAACGAATGTGACTATTACTTCTGATCATGATCAGGGAGGGCATTGTTTCTGATGTTACACCATGTTCACGAAAGTTGGTAGGAAATAAGCAATCATTTTGTGAAGAAGTAAATAAAAGCAAGACCACAGTTCTAGAAAGGGGCATGTCAACTAATGAAGTTAGTATGTTGAGGTCAGACAGCTTCTGTTGAGTGTTGCCATTGTTTTACTCAAGTCAGTGGTAGAACTGTAAAGATTACACCTGATTTCAAATTGTAGAGAAATATTCTCTTATTGAATTGATTCAAATGGCAGAGGGTAGAACTTGTATTTATGCAGATTAAACCTGCTACAAATGAGGATAAATCAGACATAATCTGACACATATATCCCATAATAAGGAAACAAAATAATAGAGATGTTCCTAAAAAATAAATTTGATCTGGTTCAGATTGTTTCCCCTTAACTTAATCCTACAAATCTGGACAGATGTAACATTCTTAATTTATCCATACCTCCATAATTATTTTGAATCATAAAATCCTAATATTCCTAATTAATTCACACTCCCCTAAAGTTGGTGCAGAGATATCAGTCATGCCCAACTTGGTGACATGATTTTCAAAGGGCTGTCTTTGTAGACCCTTTGCTAAATTGTCATAAATCTGCTGATTGGTTGGGACAAAGCGAGTGCAAATTACTACATCTTCAAGCTGGATTATAGCAATACTTATAGCAGTCTTGTTATCACAAAACAACTTCGTAGGGAGAGTTATTGGTCTTCAAGCTCCTCCACTAAAACACATTTCAGCCATAGGACTTCATAAACTCCTTGACCTATTGATCTAAATTCAACTTCAGCACCACTCCTTGCAACAATATTTTGTTTTTCACTCTTTTATGTTACAAGATCACCATAAAAATGTAAAATTCCCCGAAGATGACCTTCTATCAGTAATAGAACCTGCCCAATTAACATCAATGTATACCTTATTCCTTCTCTTCTCATGCTTTTCAAAGAATAAAGCTTTCCTTTGTTCCTAAAAATTTTGCACATAGCCTCTAGATGTTTGTCGTATGGGGAATGCATAAATTGATTCACCATGCTAACTACAAAAGCAATGTTTAGACATGTGTATGAGGTAAGTAGATATGTTTCCCAACCAATCTTTGCTATCTACCTATGTTTACCATCTTTAACATCTCTAAGTTTAGTTTTGACTTCTAAAGGCTTGCAATCAGTCATTCCAATGTCTATTGTTGTGGTATGATTTGATTGGGAGATATCGTACCAAATATTTCCTATTAATTAGATAATGATTTTGTTCCTTATTATTGTATATCTTTTTCATTATAAATAAGAGTACTCATGTGTGTATTAAAGATAAATAAAATTATTTGGGAAAATTTAATTACTGTAACAACTTTTGAGAATTGATTTCGTATTCTTCCTTTCATTTCCTACCCTTTTCAGTTGATGCCAAGTATTCAAATTACCCATTGAGTTAATTTTAAGTTGTTTACCCCTAATCATGTTTACCCTAATCCCTTAGGCAAGTAAATCTGTTCATTGAAACCTAACCCCCTATTCCTTAGGTAATTTGAGAAATTTCAATAGAATTACTAGAACAATAATCATCTCACATGAAAACTAATTTGTTTTATCTCAAATTGCTAACAGTTCCCAATCTCTCAATTGTGAAATTGTTCATAGAAAAACCATTCATCAATGAAAAAGTATAAATTAAGATAAAAAATCAAGATAACTAGAATTACTTAACATTGACCGAAAATATTCAAAACACAAAATTTAGAGTACTACATCAATCTCAAGAAAAAGATAAAACCAATTGTTGTTGAAGCAATTCATTGCATGAAAGTAGCCTCCACATCCCAGTGTTGGCTACCTTCTTAGATGTCCAATCTTGTTTAGCCAAAAGCCCCTTTGCCTCTTCTGGTCTTCTAGGTCAAATGCATTTCTCTTCCTTTTAAATCACTTCCTTTGAATTTGGGTCAAGCGCACTATAAAAATGAACTTAGAAGCATTTCCAAAAGCATCGAATGATTCACAACTTGCTTGAGGTTTTCTATGACTTTAATAGTTGCACTCTAAAGCATTTCCACAGGCATGGAGCGATCCACAGCCTGCCTGTGGTTTTCTTTAACTTCAAAATCTCCATTTTGAAACGTTTCCACAAGCATCGAATGATCCACAAATGAGTTGTAGAATTTTCTTTCTTTCCTTTTCCCATTCCATTTGATTCCAACTTGATTTATGCTCCTAAAACAATCACTTAAAAGCAACAAGAAAAACCAAAAGTGTAATCTAAAATAAAGATAGTGCAGAGTAAAATAAACCAAAGAATGAAATAATGTATGCAAATGTCTTAAACTACCACATCATTGCAATGACAATTTAAACACACATCAAGCACCCCTAATCATTTTCCCTGAGGATAAATCTTAAAATTCACAGTGAAAAGAGAAGACACAAATTATATTTTGATAACAAGACTTTGGGTCTGTCAAGAGGAAATCCCACTATAAGCAATTCTATAAGAGAAAAATAAGGAGAAAAATGAAATCAACTTCTCCATAAGTTAAAATTTGCTTATGCATGAGTTAATACAAAACAATTTGCTTATAAAGAAGTTGATTTCATATATTTTTTCTTATTTTTTTTTCTTAGAAGTGTTTATAGAGAAATTTCTTTAAAACATATCCTTCATGTGGTTGGCTTTGCTTATCTTCACTTTTATTAATTAATTCAATGTTATTTCCCTGTGAATTTGTCTAAATATGGCCAAAAGAAATAAGAGATTCACTTGATTAATTATTTAGCTGTATCAGATGTCCTGGATTGAGTTAAAGAAATTAATTGAAGAATGAGGTGAAAACATATCGAAGAGTTAGTTGATGGAAAAATATGAAGAAGATGCATCATTACAAGTATTTGTGTCTCATTACCTATTACCACTATGATGAAAGCAATCTAAAGATGTTTCTCGACATGAGCTTTGGTCCTCACCATGATCATAAACCCCATTTTTCTCATTAAAAATTAATAGTCTTTAATTGTTCATCAAACATGTTTCCTTTCCTTCCGTGCTTGGATGTTTACTTTATGATAAACTATTCAGAGATCTTATTATAGATATCTTTAATTAATAATGCTAACCATTTGATTTATTGAGTTTGGACCCTAATATTTCATCATTTAGTTGATTTCTGGAAATTATTGCTTGGAAATTTTATTTAAAATTTATGCTTTGAATAAAATCTTTGGTATTATCACAAGTCGGAGCATAATTCTTTGTGGATTTTTGCAGTTCTCAAGTTAATCCTTCCTGCTTAACAGAGAAGACAGCTAGAATTACTACCCAGGTAGTATCTGTAAACTCTGAAGCTGAAGCTTCAGTCAACGAGTCCTCTCAGAAAATAACTTCAGTAGATGGAAATAAACTTACTTTGAAAAATTGCAAGATCACTCCTGCTCTTTCAAGCTTAAAAACTTCAAGGTCTAGTGCCAAGTGTTATACTTCCTTCTTCTGTTGTTCTCTTTAATTTCTTGCAGAGACTGTTCAAATAAATTTTTTGTTATATCAGGAAGTTTGGAGCTAACGGGATTCTAACAACTTCTTTACACCAAAAAGAAACAAAATCCATTGTAAGATCTAGCCAAAACATTCAGATACGTTGTATTACAGCATCAAAGGATGAAAATCCTATTGACATTGGTAACAGCCAGAAGCCTTCAACCCCGTTTCTGAAGAGGAAAACTATTGAGGTTTGACATTTTTAAAGACTTTTACCTCTTGAACGATTGAAGGGAAAATTCGTCACTCAAATTATTTGACATTCACAAATGCAAATGTCATCATTACTGACTCCTGCTGTGTACTTTTGGTCAATAACTCTTCCCCTTGGGGTTGACACCCGTTCACATAGCTAGAATGATTTTTTTTTCCTCAAAGAATAAAAGAAGAGAGAAGGAAGACAATGTAGAACGTAAAAATAACTTCATAACTATGTTACTCTACGTGAAGATATGGTACCTTTGTGCTCAAAAGAATCATACAGAAATTCTTAGAAGCTGATTGTTACAGATATGGTACCTTTGTTACTCTAAGACTCAGTTCCACAGGTTTCTGAAGCTGATTTTACATCGTTGAGGTCCCTAAAGCGCATCTCTCGATCTCCTAATGAAAGCAGGTCCTCAAAATAGTTGATTGCTTTAATTTCTCTTTGTGATAGATTATGTAATTTCTTATGTTGGTTCTTCTGGACAAGTAACAATTCTTAACTGCAGAAATTCTAAAGAATCTTCAGAAGAAGTTGTTGGAGAGGTACACAATCAAAGCTTGGGGATTGGTATATCTAATGTGTTGTCATATTTTGATGATTCCTGATTAGTACTGATAAATGCAAGGAGACTTGCGGATATTTGTCAAGAACTTTTTATGTATCTACGACCATTAATAGCACTAATGGCACAATTATTCTAATTACTAAAACGGGCAATCTAATTATAAATAATGAATACCCAGATTTCTAATTTAAATTGACAGAATTTATGCCACATGTAACAGGGAAAATTAAACACAAAATCCCCTATTGACAATATTTAGATAATAATTTTTTATTTCCCTATATATTACCCTAATTTCCTTCCATGAAAGTCAGGTAGAGAGTATGCCCAACAATTTACACTACAATCATTCAACGCCCGGACTTAAAAGTCCACCAGAGATTAAAGTGATGGAAGTGGAAATACCTGATTCTATACTTATGGAAGATGACAGAAATGTTGAAAAGGCTGAAGCTTATATGAAAGAACTTGAAGATGTGAGTGATCTGAACATTTTACCATCTATATTAGAATTATGTTAAAAGTATTCAATTAACCGGGTTATCAATTTATAAGTAAGCAATACGGGTAATACTGAAAAACATAAGATAGTATGCTGCTAATAGTTGCCTTCTGCCATCTGATATGAGCTGAGACATATGAAAACAGTTTCATAGAATCCAAGAAGTTGTTTGGTTACTGAACAAACACGGTACTTGGTGCCTCTAGAATGAAGAAATACTCTATTTACCCTGTTCAAAATAGAACAGCCCACCTGGGTTAGTGGACAAATAAAAAAAGACCCACAATTTCTGTAAGAAAAATGCAGAATTCAACAAAAACAGTGTCAGTATAGGGTGAGAAAAATTTAAACAATATTGACATCTGTCCTAACAGTATATATGTATGTATCTGAGTGAATGAACCTCTCTCTTGCTTTCAATGCAAGCTCCACCTAAATAACCCTATTTCTCAAATTAGTTACTGTGACACTGTTATTTCCTGTTTTTAAGCACCGTATTAAGACATTTTGAAGTGTATCTCAAATGTATAATTAAATTAAACAGTTAATATTAAAACGATAAATTTATGACAATCTTAACCATTTATATATGGTTGAAGGACTAAGATTAACTTCTCTCCCACATTCACCACATAAGCTCCCATTTTGAATACCAAATCTTTTTGGGGACCAATTCGGATTGGTGTGTGTGAAAATAAAAGATGGGTTTTTGTTTTCCCGAAGCAAAACAGCATGTAATTTCTTCTTACATTGTAAAATTTCTAAGTACACATGTTATGACTGATGACTATGTTGGCCTGAGGCTGATGAAGCTGCGTGCAAGGGAAGATATCCACATAATTACATATATACATATACACACACAAGCATATATATATATATATATATATATATATATATATATATATATATATATATTCGTTTATAAAGCCCTTTCTAGTTCCTAAACTCCCGTTCTTGTGTTTTATTGTTTATGCAAGCAAACCAATTTATCCCTTCGCTTTAAAAAATCATAATTGTGGACACTTTCAAGCTGCAAATTGGTTCTGAATTGAATATCCTTACAACATTTTCAATGGTGGGTTTCTTTTTGAATGTGATTTCGTGCAGATTTGTAACATGCTTAAAAAGAAGCGCGAGGAAGCAGAAGACTTGTTAATTCGAGCCATTGTGAACGACAATAACTTGCTGATGCTTAATCATCCCATTTATGAAGAAAAGATATCCTCCCATTATTTTGTTTGTTTTCCTCCTAGTCATTTAATTGTAGATATTAATGCTGGTTATTTCCTTGACATTTTGCGAACATCCGGAAGGTTCAGAAATTTGTTTCCCAGTTGATGTCTAAGGGGACCCAAACTTGATCGGCTACAAATTGTTGCATTCAGAGGTATGTATGAATAAAGATCAATGCTACGTGTTGCCTATTTTGCACAATAAATTTGTCAGGGCTTTAGTAATCATCTGAATCCAAGGACTAAATAATACTTGTATTCCTTCAGTGTTGTCTGAACTCAACTAACATTTGTTTTCCTTAAAATAAGAAATTATGAAAAAAATTTCATATATTTGGTCTATTGCGGTTTAAAAATCTGTATCAAGTCTATTGCTATTTGACCCTTAATTGTCGTCTTACCTTATGCACAGATTAAATCAATTAACTTTTTAACTACATACAGGAAAAAAGGAAAAAAAAAAAGATACTAGCTTTTTCAACCAAAACCTTTTGCATGTCTTAGAAAATTCTACTGAAACAAAATGAAGTATGTTAATCGTTTTCTATGTACAAAGCTAAAACTTGAACTCGATTGCCAAATTCTGTTACAGCAATTATAAGTTATACATGATAATCAAGAATCATCTATGATTGTCTTCCTCAGACATGGTCTCTCTAACAGGAGAAATAATCTCACAATTTTTCATATAAAAATAGACCGTTGCTATTATTTATTGAATATGAATCGTTTCTGAACCATCGAGCTGTAAGGCATAGCTCTAATTCACAAAATTAACCTGTGAATTCTTTCGGCATGAGAGCTTAGTTCTTCCATCAACTCAAACTCCTGCCTAGAAGGAAACGAATCACCAAGCATGATGTTAATTAGCTTTAGATAACATCACAATAAGACATAATTGAAACAGCTAAGCAGGCATGCTAATTAGCTCCAAAATAAGTGACACATTAGCCATCATAGGTCGAAAGGCATCACTGTGAGAAATGAAGCCCTTTTCTTTTTCGTATAGGACACAGCTATACACTCACTAGGCAACAGATTGGGGAGTTGCATACCTCCAAAATCAATCTTTTTGCACATTTGTCCAAACAGAGAATTTATATTTAACGTGGAATAAGGACAATAAAAGCTTATGACCATTAGCGAGTGCTCATATAAATACAAAAAAAAAAAAAAAATAAGAAGTGCAATAAGGACTTCCACTTGGATTACTATAACATAAAACAATGAAGCAAGCACCTGATGCATATATATATCTATATATACATGTTATCTCTTCGCTAAGATATATACCAAATTTGTCTAGCGTTTTTCAAAATCTTGAAGGGAAAATGGCTAGAGTGAGAATCTGTTTCTGCACTTTACTCTTGTTGCTCTCATTCAACATGTCCGAGACTCGCCCCCTGAGGAATCATGACCCTTTTTCTTCTTACTTCCCCCCCCGCTCCATTTTCCTTAGTACTATCAAGCACCTTAATCCAGACTCAGAAGGCCGAAGCCTAGCCATGAAAAGTGTTAAGGTCTCTTACAGCATTGGGTTCAGAAATAGCAATGCAACAAGAAGCCCGTACTACCGACCCAATCGAGTGAGTCCAGGAGGTCCAGATGCACATCATCACTTCAAAATAGGGAATAATACGCGCTAAATTAAGTTTTGAGAATAAAAGCACAAACCAGTACTTCATGTGGCACCAGAAGGGTGGCATGCATTTTCTGTTCACAAGTCCAACGAATATATGTACCTTTAAATGAATCTCTTTGATTCCAATAAATCCCATATTTTCTCTTCTATTTTGATTTGCGATCCCACTCGGCATTCATGGTTACGTAAATTATTGATCTGAACAGATTATTTAACTTATTTTCTTTATGTTTAAACTAGGGTTATAAAAAAAATGTAAAATTTTGTTAACCACAAAACATTTTTTAATTTATTTTAATTTTATATTACATCAAAATTAAATCAATTTACATTTAATTTTTAATTATGATGTTGGTTTGAATAAATATTTTAATGAAAAATTAAATCAACCGAATTAAAATACATAGCAAAATAGGCATTAAATTCTTTAATGATTTCATTCTATTAAAGTAAAGAATATGTAGTTTGGAGGATAAATTACAACACCAACATTTGTGATTATAACTAATTTTCGATTATATTTTAAAAATATATGTATTTGATTTGATTATAAATTTAAACGATTATAAGGGTATTTTTCTAGGGTAAATTCTTATTTATAATTGCTACTTCCATAGGATCTACGACGGAATTACAGGGCTGTAATTATTGCTCTTCACCTCAAGAACCGGTCCAGTCCTACTCTCAAACAACATTTCTCTTAAAACCAAAATCTCAACAATCCTTTTAGATTCTCATAATCTCTCAGGTTACTGCATAACAACAAATTTAATGGTTGGACACGAACTAGAAGCCTCAAATATCCTCGTTACCAAATCAGATGGTAAAGAAAGGAACCAGTCTTCTTTACATGGGTTTATAATATCTAAATGAACAAGTTTAAGAAAATATATTTAATTGTGTGAATTCAGTTTGGTTTAATTAGATACATATAAAAAGGATCTTTAGGGAGCTAAGTTATTCATACTTAGATTGATAAAAGGTTTTCATGCCAACAACATTCAAGGACAGTTGGGGGAAGGAAGATCGAGGGAGGGAGGGGAAGGTTACTCAGCTAACACTCGCATACATTGGTTAATATTTACCTACTTCTTACCAACTAATTGTACCAAAACTTTGACTCTTTCTGTCACTTCATTTAGTGGGATGTAAGGAAAAGAAAAACTGCAAATGTAGCAGTTTCCTTCAGGATAACTAACATTTGTGATTAAAGAAGATTGAGGAGATCTCAATACCCACAAAAATTTTAGAGTATAAGAACATGTGATAATTTAAAAGGAGATAAACTATCCAACTGGGAGGTCCCAAGGAGGATCCAAGTTAGGTGAACAATAATCTTTGATGCACGAAGTAGTTTTATTATAGATTCTGAATCTGAATGAATGGTATATACGTGAGGACTGCGATGGCCAATATGTAAATCTGCTGAAAACCTCACTATTGGTTATCTCAGAAGGAAACAGAAAATAATAACTTGTCAATACATTCTTTTAGTGGAAAATACTATGCGGTTACTAAAAGATATATGAAAGTGCACCTTAAAAAAGTATATATGAAAGTCAATTGCGATAATGCCCAGTTTGTTAAAAAGATAAAAGCCACGTTAATGGCAGTTAAGGATAAGATAAAGAATACAATGGAAATGATATACTCTTATCAAAGTGGGTTTCCTCAATTGATATGTTGTTTTCCTTCTGCAGTAGTTAATTAAGGTACACCACCTAACAATTTCATGCCTCAAATCAGTACAGTAGTTGGATCACTATTGATGCAGGCCTTGGTTTTTCTTTAGAACTATAAACTATGTTCATCGTTCTCGAACAGGACGAAATTGTCGGTCTTTTTATACAGTAACGAAATGCCGACCAACATTAACAAAAACAGTAACGACAAGCACTTGCAATGGATTAGGTTTTTCTTTTAGAAAAGAATGATGTGGGGTAGATTTGAGACTCAATCTTTTTATTTCAGTTCATTCTTCATATTAAATTACTATTACATATATATATATATATATATATATATATATATATATATATATATATATATATATATATATATATATATATATAACTGCAAGACTTTGATTGTCATGTTACAAGATCAGGGAAGATAACGAAACCATTTAAACACATGATATAGAAGATATAACTCTGTTGGCATTTAAGCACTGAGGATGTTTCTGGAGGATGGTCTACCACCTGCTTGGATTTAATGATTGGGAATGTATTAATAGTGCTATTTTTTTGCAATATCAAGAGCAAAAACATACTTATTTCTGGCTTTTAATTCATGGAATTTGTAGTAGATCCTTCATGACTGTGATTCTACTATCATGTTTATGTCTGTTACTCTTCAGCAAAATTAACACATTGTGTTTGGTGTTGGACCAACAATCACTGATCTTCTTGGTAAATGATGGATAATAGGTCCCAAAATTTTATAAATTATGTGTAAATTTGTAATTTTAGTCTTTTCAAATTGAATGATAATATATATTTTTTTATATTTATAATTTTATTTATTTATTTATTTTAAATATTAAAATAAATTATTAAATATATTGAATAAAAGAATATTTTATATTTTTTTCATTTATTCTTTTATATATTTTTATTATTTATTAACAATATATTATTTAACTCTAAAATTACGATAAAGAGAGTGCAAAGGTTATATCAGGATAGTCATATATTTGTAGAGTGAAGACACTATGATTCATCTTTTATGCACAAAATTTTCGATAATTTATCCAAAATTTTAACTTATAATTTTGTTGCCGTGGTTGAGAAAAGAAATAAAAATATAGATTCATCTTTCTAAAAAAACAATTTAAGTCGGAAACACAGTTTTAGGATTTATATTAAAAGCAGAGACTTGTCTAGTTCTACTACACAATAGGTGGTTTAAGAATAAATAGTATAATAGTTATAGTATGTTAAAATTAATTGTGATTTCATATGTTAGTAATAAGAAAAAGAAACTAGAATATTGTCTGATTCTACTACAAAATAGGTGGTCTAATAACAAATAGTATAATAAATCTAACATTATTAGAATTAGAAATAAAAAATATTAATTTAATTTTATAAAATCAACTTTTAAAGTCAGTTTCCACGTATCTATATAATTTAATTTTCTAGTCTAACAATTTACACAAGTTTTTAAGTCACGCGTCTGCTTTAATTTTTTGATGTGGGACATGCCTACCTATCCATTCCATACATGTTTGTTCCATTCTTCACCCCTCGTTTGCTGTATTTGCTGAAATCGAAAAATAGAATGATTCTTCACATCTGAAACAAGTTTGTGTTAGAATGTGATTCAAATAGAGCATAAAAACATGTCTTAGTTGTTTCTATTGGTGTACACGTTTTCTATAAACGACCTGCACTCTTCCATTTTCTATCTACATGTCTTCGTTTGTTTTTCTCTTTTGTGTGTTTGTGTTGTTTAAGATCTAACAATTTGTTAGTTAGATGAGGCCAACAGGTGCAAATTTTGTAACAAATTTTCCTATTCTCAATAGAAAGAATTGGGATCGGTGTGTCCAGATGAAAACAATTTTTTACTATCAAGACGTAGCAGAGATTGTCGAAGAAGGGTACCAAAACTCACTGAAGGTTCCACAAATGCATAGAAGACACTTTACAAAGAAAATAAGAAAAAAGATTATAAAACAACCTTCTTCATTCATCAATGTGTTAATAAGGTGCATTTTGAGAAGATTGTAAGGGCTACAACTAAGAAGCATGGAAGATCCTAGAGAAATGTAGTGAGAGTGCAGAGCAATTGAAGAAAGTGAGATTACAGACAAAGGAGCGCTAATATGAATTTATGCAAATGAAAAATAATGAAAAGATAACTAATTAATTTTTCAATAGAATCATTATTCACAAATACTATGAAGAATTGTAGTGAGAAAATTTTAGATCGAACAATTGTAGAAAAATCTTGAGAACTTTCAACCCTAAATTTGATCACATAGTTGTCGCGATTGAAAAATCCAAGAAGCTTGAATATTTGAAGGTAGAAGAGCTACAAGTTCTCTCGAGACACATGAGCAATGATTGGTTGAAAGAGATTCAGATAAGTCTGATGTGTTGGCAAAATTTGGGTCATGTATATATATGATACATAATTTAAATGTGTTAGGATCATTATTTATTAAGCCAAATAATAAAGTGATCTGACTAAATTAAAGTTTTGGCTAAAGGCATATGCCATGAAAATAAAATTGTGTAGAGACCATTGAACAATTTCTAATTTGATAAGGGGCCAAATTGGAAATACTAAAACTTAAGTAATTAACCTAATTCTGGTTATTTTAAGGGGTCGTGGTCCCCTTCTGGTAGCACACACACAGAACGTAAGTATCAGTCCCGTTCCTTTCTTTCTATCCCCATCAAGAGAGAAAATCAAGAGGGAAATACAGGTGCTCTTCAGGTGGAAGACCATAAGATCAATATAGTGCTCTACAAAGACATCATCATTATGACTAATTTAGGTACGCTTTCGCATTCAGTTTACAACATGTTTATCAGTATGGGATTATGTTTATGTTTGATCGTTAGAATCAAAATCAGGATTATTATTATTATTATTGTTTTCCAACAATTGGTATCAGAGCCGCCCATATTTGATTCATGTCTGTTTAATTTATAGAACCCTAATTATGAAAATTAGGATTAATTTTATTTTAAACAATTCAAATTACCCAATTTTATGAACCCTAAGTGGAGGATAATCTCTAATTTTTGTGAACCTTAAAATTTAAATTTGGGGGTAACATCCCCAATCTGATTCTGCTTGCTGATGGAACCGTGGAGGAAGCTATAGATTCTTCTTCTTCTTCTTCGTTTTTCCCTTTTGTTTCAGTTTAAGTTTCAAGTTTTACTGAGAAAGAAACAATGTTTCAAATTTCAATTTTTTTTTGTATTGGGTTCTCTGTTCTTTTTTGAATCTTTTGTTTTTATTTAATTTTATGGGTTTGGAATTGGGAGT